GAAGGGGCAGGAAAATGAAAGAAAAGAAGGGGAGAGAAGAGAGAGAGAGAGAGAGAAATGAAAATAAAGAGAAAAAAAGAGAAAATGGAAAGAATTTATTGGCAGAGTGTTTGGTCTCATAGGTTTTTCCTCGAATTTTTTCTTTTCTTTTTTTTTTTTTCTTCCTCCATCCCTGGTTCTGGTAGTTCCTCATAGTGCTTGATGACTTAGTACACGTTCTGCTATGTTTTTTTATTGCGTTCACGAACAATTGGATACATAATATCCGTTTTTACTTGTTCTATCTTTTCAACGCGTTCAAGATGATGTGAGTATGTACATAAGGGTTGAAATTATACTCGTGTGTTGAAGGCACGCTGTTTTTTTTTTTTTTTGTAATATTTCTTCAGGATGTAAGATGATGTATCGATCAGGTTCTACGATAGGTGAAATTATTATACATACACGTTTCATATAGTTCTTGTAGTGAACTTGTAGTTACATATCGAGATCGTGATCGAGAATTTACACGTGATTCCCGTGTTTTGAAATTTTTCTGCATGCATTTTCTATCGAGGAGAAATGAATCGTGTCGCCATTCTAAACTTTAATGATAATAGAATAAAAGTTAGAAGTAAGAGAAGATCTCGTCTTTTCTCTCGCAACTGTGAATAATTCTATTTTTCATTTAAAAATATCCATTTTTTCTAAACATAAAGCTAGACTGCTTCTTACTTTTGCTATGGAGCGATAAAGAAGAAAAAAAACGCGTTGAAAAATTTTGATGAAAAATTAATCAAAGTTTGATCGAACTTTCGATCAAGTAGTTTAATTTTCGAATAATCGTGAATTTGTTAGTTACACTCGGTAGCTGTGCGTTTTGCTTTGTGCAAAAGTGCAAGTGAGAGTAAAATTTGCATCGTTCTTATCGCTTTTATTACGAGAATAATAGTAATTGACTGAGCAAATATTTTTCGAAATAAGGATTGTGTTTCGACACTACAGGAACAAAACGTGTCCGACGTCTTGTCCTGGTTCATGTAGGGCGGAATGTTACGCAAACACTCTGTATGGCTCAGGACGATACGTCTGGCTCGTCCAACCAACAGATTTTAAGATAAATTGTCATGCTGTAACATTCAGGGCATCGTTAATCTCAAAATTAAAGATTAATCGTTAGTAAAAGTAAATTTCTAAATGCAAAATATTCCAATTGGAATTATGCAAAATAATTCCAATTTTGTTTACAATATTTTCGAAATTTTTTTAACCAGATTTCCAAATCAAAATTTTCGAAAACTCGTTAAAACTCGTAACAATTATAATATTCAATACTGGGAAATTCATCGATCGATCTCAGTCTTTTATACCATTAAAAAAAACCGAATATTCATTTCTATTCAATATTCGTACAGACAATTGAATTTATAATTATCACAGTTTTTTTAAATGAAAAAATTTTTCTCAATGAAAAAATTGATTACAAAAGATAAGATAACACACGTATGCTTGTTCAATATACTTCGAAGAATATACTTTTCGAGCATAGGAATCTACAATTTTCCATTATTCTCGATCGACTTGACTTTGAAATTGAATACGATAATTTATGTTGTTGCTTTCTTTTCTTTTTTTTTTTGTTGTTGTAAATTTGCGTTTTTAAAAATTTGTAAATAACATTTATTGTCTATATGTATAAAAACATGCTTATAACATTTTTTAGACTTTCGATATACATATGTACATATACAAGGTGTCATGTGTGAATTCGACCAATTTTTTCTATTCTTATTCTTTTTTTCTTTCTTTTCTTTTTTTTTACTTATCTTCATTTTCCTTCTTTTCATTCCATTTCATTTTTTCCCAATATAATATAATAAATCGAATAAATCTATGCAATAACGTTCCACTAGTTTGTTCTACGATTGATTAGTTCGATCTCTTTTTTTTTCTATCCCTGCAATTGTCGTTCGTTCAAAGGAAAGTAATTATGAGGAAAAGAGGTTGGTTAATTAAGATGTTTGATCAATAAGGTTATTCGTCTACCTGACTGTTATACAGAAGAATTAGACTGTCTACAAAAGAATTAGAATATCTGTAATCATTAATTGAATTCATAAAAGTAATTTCATAAAATATTTCTTCTTTTCTTTCTTCCGGTTTAATAAGATTTTACATCATATCATGTGAAAACGTGTTTCAAAGTAATTTTTTAATGTTTCTAAAAAAAGCTCTTGAGCTTAAATAACTTATAATGTGTCGTTTAAAAAAAAAATGACAAAAGTAAATTGATTTAAATAGAAAATTATTAATTATTCGTTCATTTGAATATATTCATTTGAGAGAAATATTCTTGATACATTTTTCTAAAAAAATTAAAGTTTCTCGAATTTTTAAAATCTAAATTTGTATTTATTTTTGCATTTACATTCAATTTGAAAGTGTTTCGAAATTCAGAATTTCTGTCATTCTCAAGATCTAGAATTTTCTTTTTTTTTTCTTAAAAATTTTTCAAAATCATCGATTTTTCTTTACGTCATCTTCTTTTTTTTATATATATTCGAAAAACATACATACATACATACGAATTATTATATATCTCGCGTGTGTATATCGTAATTATTCAGCGACGATTCCACCACCCTTTCTCTAAAGGATCTAATTCCTTAAAGGATATATTTAAAGAAACAAAAAAAAAAAATAATACATTTTATTCAGGAACTTGAAACGAGTGAAAAAACAGAACGAAAAAGAAAGAAAGAAAAAAAAAAAAGAAATTGTATTCTTTATTTCAACAAAAATCGAGAAGCGTTTCTTTTTTTTCTCATTTACAAAACCCTCGATGCGTTTCATATTACTCAACGATTGATTAATTTTATTTATTCTGTTTGCTATGTTAGATGGGCCCGCGGTTGTCCGCGTCAACATATTTGTTCGAAGTATCTCAAAAATAGATGTACGTTACTATGGTAAGTT